AAAAAACAAAGTAATTAATAATTAAGTATTGATTTTGTTGTTAATCTATGAAGTGGTAGTTAATTGTGAGTACACTGACTACATGTTCAACACCGAGAGAGAGAGAGAGAGAGAGAGAGAGAAAGTTACACGATTTTATAAATGATAATTTTATGTAGGAATTGGTGTTTAATTATTGTTGTGACCCAAACCTTGCGCTATTTGTTTGCAATTGAGAGCCGCTTTGAGCAACGCCTGAGTGCGTGGGTTGAGTGCAGCGCCGCCAACGCTCACGTACTCGAGTCGTCCGCCGAGCGCCGCGGCTATCGGTCGGCAAATCACGCGATTGATTAGCGGTGTGTCATATCCTCTACCCGTCCACCGGATCTTATAGTCCATTAAATACGTGAACAGTGGGGCCGATAGCGCGGACCTGGCGTTTAGTTTCTCATAGATTTGTTTCAACAGTCGGTCCATAACTAGCGGTACGGCTGTCATCGATGTCGGCCGAAGAAGTGTGACGTCACCCGACTGTCCTGAGGCCAGTCCTGGCGACGAGTCGGTCAGGGTTTGGGCCGAACTGTACCCGATTCTGGCGCCGGCTATCAGTTTGTTATGTGTTTTGAAATGTATTAAAATTTAATTTAATTTAAACGCAAAAGTCTTACCAAAAAACAAATACATTTCAAAAGTAAAGCCCAAAATGTGAGCCAATGGCAGATAAGACATATAGGTTTGATTGTGGATCCCGTCCGGGATATTGTCGGCACTGTAGCCGTGAAGTGACCGAAGACTGGCCATCAGTGAGCGGTGAGATATGCGGACAGCTTTCGGTTGGCCAGTGGTTCCCGACGTATACATTATGACCGCCGTTTCGTTTGTATCGTTTGGCAACTGGTAGTCGAGTGGCACCGACTTGTCGTCGGTTCCGTTGTCTTCTAACTGATCCAACGATTTGATGGTAATATTGTCGCCAAAGCTATTGTCACTCAATTGGTCGCTGGTATTCTTCATGTACACGATTGACTTCAAATGCGGCACTTTATCGATAAATGACTTCAATTTAGGCATCAAATCAATTGATGTGATTATTGTTTGCGATTCCGTTTGGTTTATACCGTATATTAGGCCAGAAGTGCCTTCAAATGTGGGCAAAAATAATGTTTATATTTTTTATATATAAGAAATTGTATGTTTAATCTCTAATGTAAACTCAATGGAGTTGATTTTAATCCAATATAATTTAATACAATGATTAACGTTACCTAATGTTGAGTATAGCGTACATAGAGTTGCGTTAATTTTGATGAGCGCTAAACTACAGAGTGTCCACTCGAGCCGAGTGTCCGCCCAAATGATTACATTGTCTCCCTTTTTGACACCCATTTTCATTAACCCTTTGGCGATATTATCCACTCTTTTGATCACATCATTAAGTGTTAACCACTTATAGCTATCGCTTAACATTAATTTTCGCAATACTTTGCCATCAATTTTGATCTCATTTCCTAAAAGTAATGTAAAAAACAAAGTAATTAATAATTAAGTATTGATTTTGTTGTTAATCTATGAAGTGGTAGTTAATTGTGAGTACACTGACTACATGTTCAACACCGAGAGAGAGAGAGAGAGAGAGAGAGCAGATTAAAAATTAT